GAGAGAGAGAGAGAGAGAGAGAGAGAGAGAGATAGAAAGAAATATAGAACAAAATAAAAAGCAAAGGCTATCCTTAATCTGAATAATCCACATCCCTCAGCTCCTTCTGTAGTAGACACACATCTAGGTGCACAACAGGAAAGAAAAGAAAAGCGAAAAAGACAGGGAATGAATGAAGAAGCAAAACAAATGAGTGCTCAAGGCCTTTAATTGGCAAGTTTGACTTTAACCCACCTTTTTCAATTTGCTCAATTTTTTATCATTCAGTAGTATCATGCCTCTATATATAAGTAAATTTGTTGTATTCCAAAGACTACTTTGAAAAGGAAATCTAGATATTTGGAAGCATAGAGTCAAGTCATTTCAATTTTTTTTGATTGATCATCACTGTACAAGGAAAAGTTTTGCTATCCAGTACATTTCTTCATTGCTATTAATTTCAAACTGCTCTTACTATTTCTTGACACTTTGCCGTCACATCTGCGATTTTTTCCCGCCTGTTTCTTTGGATTCTCCCCAAAATGTCTTTGCTTTGATGGCAAGGGTTTTCACTATATGAGCCTTGTGATGGCAAAGTGTTAATTCGAAACAAGAGCAACATTCACCATCCACTAAAACCTACCTTGAGACCAACGACATTTTGACCTCCGACTTCGATCAGTTGATGATCAGTGAGGAGTCCATTACGGGCTGCAGAGGAGTCCTTCACCAGAGACTTGATGCGGCCATCTTTGTAGACAAACCCGATGAAACCATTACTGTCTTTCTGCATGGTCACTGTACGCTCAAAAGGCCTGTAAATCAGAATAACAAAACATCGTACCATACCACACAACAAAAAGATACAATAATGAAAAGCTTAGAACTTAGGTTTTGGGGGGGGGGGTTTAGTAGAGGGTTTTACTGCGCTCACAACTGCATACAAAAGTTTCAAGTTGTACCTGCGTGTATTGTGCAAAAATTGCACCCTCATTAACAGATAAATATCTATTGGTGAGACTACAAACCCTAGAGAATACCACAGTACTGAAAACATAACAACAGTAGGTAAAGTCCAAACATGAATGAATTCCACGAATGGTACAGTTTGAACAATCAAGCAATATGGTTTTTTTTAAATCAAACCCAATCAATTACATAAATAAACCCATTTTGCAAACTGACTACAAATAGAACTAAACTTGTGGGTGGTTGGCACAAGCTCCGGTGTGGTATGCTCCATCTACCTCATCAAACATCTGTTACTTTATCCCTCCATCTATCTCTTCAAACATCTGTTACCTTTATCCCTCCTCCTCCTTTCCTTCAATGTTACTCTCAAATGATACCTCCTATCTTTGGCACTTCTATGACCAATTTGGGTTGCAAAAATGCCATTAAATGTTCTTTCAACTAGACCACTTTGGGGTGCATTCTAGCAGGACTCGAACCACTACTTTTCAAATAGCCTACCCTGGTGTTAGGAATACAGGAGGGGCTGGCACATTCAACCTCATACCCCTGTACCAGTAGGAACAAATGTGTTTTATTTCTCCTTCAGTGAATAAAAGAACAAGAGATCATGACATTCTAGAGATTTTAGTAAGTTTCTGTGACAACTTTTCCCACTTAGGGAAAAACCAGTTTCATTAAAAAATATAAACCAATGCATGAAAGTTTTTTTTTAATGCACAAAAATGAGGTAGCCAACCCAGTACCATATTGATACTGAGGGTAATTTTCCATTTACAAAAAAAAAAAAGGAAATTTCATTCAGATATCTAGATTTTAGATATGATGTTTCATACCATCAGCTGTCATGGCAAGCTGGAAAATAATAAAGAGGGGGTATGGAATGAGGAGCGAGGGGTGCGCAAAAAAAACATAAAATTAATAGGCGGTGGAAGGGGGGGGGGCCTTATTCGATACCTTAAGAGTATGTAATTGTCCACCTGAGGAGCTACTGTACATCTGTTGTATGCACAGTAAATAAAGTACAAGATCCCTACCCGGTATCTTGCTACATGCTGTGACTGTGGTTTGCACAAAAATAAAAATTCAACAGATTTCTATGTGGGTTCTGCCAGGCCCCCTTTGTGTGGAATAAGGAAACTGAACCTTTGCGCAGGCTGGAGTTAAAACTAAAACTAAACAAAACTTGCATACCTGTCCCTCACGGCAAACTCAATTCTCTGACCATCTGCCTTTTTCAGGAAGTTGTGAGCTTTGTTGTTGTCCCAGCCAGCCACTGTCTGACCGTTGATCTGGAGGATCTGGTCTCCGAACCTCAGACCAGCCAACGCAGCAGGCAGACCCACTTGCACGAACGCGACAAAGATGCCCTGTGAACAGAACGAAAAGTGGTGTTATTTACATACAGCTGACCACAGAGTGAACAAGGGTGCAAAAGCAAAGGGCTTCGGATACAAGAGATTATTTACACATTTCAGCTCTAGTTTCTCACTCATTCTTTTTCTTCTTTTTTTTTTAAAGTAAGGTTTTACAGCTCTCGCACCTGCACAAGGTCAGATGAGCACCACGGGGTGGATGTCAACAGAGAAGTCCGACACGGAATCAGGCTTACTCTGCTCACCTCTCTAGCCTTAACATCACAAAGTCCACCTCAACTATCAAGGCACCCCGGAAATAACAGTTCACAAGAGAGTGACAAACATGCAAAAGAAGTATAGGAAAAATGACGATAGTAAGGACGAGGAAAGGAAAAGCAGCAGTTCCCCCTATGTTGTTCCAGCACAGTATGAGCATGACATTGATAAATCAGCCAATTTACAATTCTACTATGCATAAGAACATGTTAATATCCCACCTTTGGGAACTGCCTAAAGACAACTTCAGTCAGTGTCACTGCCCTGATGGGAACAGCTGACAGCAAAGTGAACAAGGGTGCAAAAGCATAGGGCATCTGATATAACTGACTATTACACACATTACAGCTCTAGTTTCTCACTCATTCTATAGGCTGAGTTTTGAGTAAAAAAGGAGCTTATCAACAAAGTAACGTACCTTTAGTGCTGAGAAAAAGTCAGACCAGAACAAAGGAACCTATCAGCCGTGCCTACCAACCACCAATACCTTCAGACTAAAGAGTAAATTTATAGAATAGTAAAGCATAATCCGCAACACAATTTTCATGTTCAATCTTTTCTCTCAAAACAATTCCACTTTCTAATCTTTTCCAGCTGAAAGATGGTCTCACAATAAATAATAATAATCTTTAATAGCTACTTACACTGTTGACATGGCGAATCCTCAGGCCCAGTTTCCCATCCTGATCTTTACACAGGATAACCTCTCTGATCCCAGATTTGATTTCTGCACGAGCCAGGCCGAGATTGTTCCCTGTGATTGGAGCGATCTGGTTCTGGCCTGAACGGGTCTGTCTAACGCCAACTTCCATGCCCTGAAAATGATTCACAGAGGTGAGAATAACTATGAACTAGAAAGCATACACAAGAAGAAAAAGAACAGACAAATAATCCTTCGTCTTTTTAAAGGGTGAGACCCACCATTTGATCAAAGGAGGCTAAAACAGCACCTGGACAAGGATGGCTGGTGCCTCTATAAATAAATCATTGATGGCCATTTGATGAAAGGGAAGACTGGAAGATGTTTAACAGTTTAGGAAAAGTGAGCAATCATACTGTAATTACAATACCTTTTCCCTTCGACTAAAAAGTAAATTGAGGTACCTCCAGCAGACTTATACACAATACATATATATCTATATCTATTTCACATGGGCAGATGCCTTATCTTCTTCACTCATACTGTGATACACAAAGAGACATCATTACTCAGGAGTACAGCAAGACAGAAATCCTGGATTCTGTACACACTTAATGTATGGACAGACTTTAAATTTGTTGGACAAAAGTAAAGCAAGAGCTATACCCACTAATGAGACAAAAAAAACTACTGCTGTGTAAACAATCACACAGAAGGTCATTTGGAATGTAAACAATCATGATGGTCTTGTCAGAACTTAAATAACAGTAAAAAAAATTTTTTTTAAAAAGGAATGCGCTGATGAAGATAGATCCATGAAAGGCGAGGAAATTTATACAATTTAAAACTTGACTCATGGATATATAGGAGAGAGAGAGAGATAGAGAGAGAGATAGATAGAGAAAGAGAGAGAGAGAGAGAGAGAGAGAGACAGAGAGAGAGACAGAGAGAGAATGAGAGAGAGAGAGAGAGAGAGAGGATTACCATAGAAACTGTGTGCTGCATATGTTCTTTGTATTATTGTACAGCGCATTGAACACTTCTTTTAGTGGAAATGCGCAATATAAATGCAATCTATTATTATTATTTTTATTATGAAAACTCAAAACATTCCCGCTCTGATATTCCAGGATATTCTGATATTCCTGCATTTACTCAAATCCCACCACACCATTAGAAACAAATAATGTGTGCGTTCAGTTACTGTTACTGCACAGTTCAAACAGACACCCACCTGTGAGGGAACCACCTGCATGTTCTGTGCCATCTCGGGGGTCAGCTGTAGTCCCATGTACTCGCCCAGACTTGGGTAGAGGGCGCTGGCAGAGATGGCTGGGACGTGGGCAGGTGGCTGCATTCCGGGCTGTGGGTACTGCAGGGGTGGTGCCTGTGCACTGCTGCCTGTGATGGCCCGCTCATGATTCACTTGAGCCTGAGGGAGAGATTATAACGTCTCAATATAAAATAATTTTTTATAATACAGTAGTCTACGCCTAAAATCCCGGTGCTCGGAAGGAAGGAAATGCGGGACCTTAGGCGAGCCGTGATCCTAACAGACGAACCCAGGGAGGAATTTATGGTGACCCATGTTAAGGCTCACCCTCCACTCTAAAATGAACTGACATGACCGCTTGGTGGGTTTATGACATATGGCGAGCAAAGAGTGGTTAACCTTGATGACCTATCACAGTGCTTAGTGGGATGAGGCGTGCCATTTTCACTTATTATCCTATCATGAATCTCAAGATCTACGCTTATCCAGTTGCTCCTCCCCCTTTCCTGTCGAAAATGTATAGCTTTCCTCCATTTGATTTAAAATGTGGGTGTTTGGGGGGGGGGGATCTCTGCATCAAGCTCCTTTTATTGTTTCTTGTGGTCTTGAAGGCTGTACAATTTGGATAATTGATAAGAGAATGGAATGTTAGCTTATATGAATGAAGTGTGGCTTATCGTAGAAAGCACATTCATTTTTCTCGTGTACGTATATGTATGTATGTATGTATGTATGTATGTATGTATGTATGTATGTATGTATGTAT